TTCTAAACCCCATTTGTTCAATTATGGTCCCTTCAATATGCTTATTTAGGTTCTTGTAAATTGTAATCAGTAAATTAGACGTGCTGCCCTCGCAGCTCTAGGGTTAGCTTTCAAGGGACTTCCTACATTAATTTTTTTTAATGTTTGCAGTGAAATGAAGAAGGGAATTGGTTGCTTGGTATGCAGGGCTGGCTGTGTGCAGGGGATGCTGCCTGCATGCTGATGTGTCACTGCCCAGTGAGGAGCAGGGGTGCTGCAGCACTGCCTCAGCTCTGCTGGAACAGAGGCAGGGCCAGGGCTGCAACCTGATTTTGTGCTGTGGGGTAAAAATGGGAGATAAATGCATTGGAACGAGCACAGGCTGATAAATGAGATCTCCAGAAGCCAGCACATGCTGCTAACAGAGATCTGGGGTGACACAAGAGGGATGGAAAATCCTCAGCATCACCTTCTACAGTCAAATATCAGCTGTTGTCTCTCTTTCTGATCTTTTTTTCTCTTTTCTTTATGTTTTGCCTTGACATTTTTAATATCGAGCATTTGGTACTAAACCAAATCACCTTGCTGAGTCACCCAGAGCCTTTTCTTTCCTCCTTTTACCTTTTCTGGATGGACTCTCATTTGCATCATGCAGACACACGGTTTTCCAAAGCAACACCTCTTCCCTTTCAGCTCATTTACCTGGAGATTTCAGCAGGTTTGGGAAACAGGCTCCTCAGCAAGTGCTTTTATATATCTGTCATTTAAAGAGCCTTCCTGAGAAGTGGTGTCTGGGTCTGGTGTTGCAGACAAATTGCGTGTTTGTTGCAGTACTAGATCATGCAAGCTCCAATATCCCGACCATATTGTCCCCATTTATTTCTTTTATCTCTCTGTTTAATATAATAGGAATAGTGGCTGAGGCAGGGAAACATATGCAGCAGCATAATAGCAGATTGTTTGGGAGCAGTTGTCTTCCATTTCCAGGGCTTCCCTTTGAAATGTAATTGTCTGCTAATATAACAGGGAAATATCATTGCAGGAGTGATCACTAAAGCGTTTACTCCTGCTTTTGGCTCATGCTATATCTGTATGGTGTTTTTTAAGAGGAGCTGGCTGCAGTATTAGCTGGTGAAATATCCTTGGTGAGATGTGTTTGCAGAAGTTGTGATGGGCATATTGTCACCGAATGTGGAAACAGCCCCGAGCAGTGCCAAAACAAGAGAGACACCGAGTCCCATGTGTGAGGCAGCAACAACAGAATTACAATCGCCTCGTGTAAAGTATCTGGTAATGAAGGCAGATAATGGAATTCTTTGCAAAAGCAGATGCTAACTGGCTCCCCAACCCTAGGCAGCCAGCTGAAAACTGATACCAGCTGGAGGGGAGAAAAAACAGCTGAAAAAGGCATTCAGGGGAAGATGCCTTAGATGCAGGTTTGTTTAAGCAGTAAATACTTGTTTAAAATGATTTTGTGAGATCCTTATTAAGAGGCAAGCTGAGCCTAACTATGACAGTGCTGTAGGAAGTCAGCTGGATGCCCAGAGGATGTTTGTGTGCAGATTGGATGAGTGAGGCAGCACCGCTGGGAATTTGTTGTCATTTATTGCCTGGCCAGGACAGCCCTTGCAAGGCTGAACTGCAGGAGGTGGGACTGGGGAGAGCCAGAATCTTCTGCTGGCCAGGGAGGAGGCAGCCTGTGCTAGCAGAGGGTTGGTTTTAGAAGCAGGGGTGTTGTGACAGTGTTCACAGGGGTCCGAGGATGAGGGAAGAGATGAGGATCTGACTCCATGTTTCAGAAGGTTTGATTTATTATTTTATGATATATATTATATTAAAACTATACTAAAAGAATAGAAGAAAGGATTTCATCAGAAGGCTGGCTAAGAATAGAAAAAGAAAGAATGATAACAAAAGCTTCTGTCTTGGACAGAGAGTCCGAGCCAGCCGGACTGTGATTGGCCATTAATTAGAAACAACCACATGAGACCAATCACAGATGCTCCTGTTGCATTCCACAGCAGCAGATAACCATTGGTTACATTTTGTTCCTGAGGCCTCTCAGCTTCCCAAGAGAAAAAATCCTAAGGAAAGGATTTTTCATAAACGATGTCTGTGACAGGGTGTCTCTACACAGCGGTGCCTCCTGCCAGGATGGAAGTGGGGCTGGCTCGGAGCATCCTCCTGCCTCCCTCCCTCTGTTTACCTCCTGGTCACCCCAGCCATCTCAAACCATGGAAGAGTTGCTTTGGAAATCAAGGTGATAGTTTAGAATCCAGGGCTTAGTCCAGACAGAGGCTTCCTTCTGTTGTAAGTAAGGATTTCTTCCAACAAATAGTGCAATGGGGAAGACAATTAACAAAAAACCCAAAAAAAAACAACAACCCTTAACAAATAAAGCAACCAACCCTGGAGTTGGTCTCTGCTTTTTGCCCAGATGAATTTTTTCTTTACCCAAAGATTTTTCCCACAATGGGGAATTTTGGCACATCTGGAGCACAGAGCTGGGGTTCAATCTCCAGGTGTCCAGACCTGGCCCAACGCAGGAATTTTTGTGGGGCTTTGTCCCATCCCAGGCAATTGCCCAAGCTACTGATTTTTGAAGGCCTAAAGCTCACTTTTAGTTCCAGCCCAGCTCAGAAAGGAATACACATGTGCTTCTGACCTGCCAACATTTCTCCCATGTGAGAAAACTCATTCTGGGGAGGAAACACCGTGGAATTCCAGACTTATTCACAGAGGCACTCTGTCTGCAGGCAGGGGCTGGAGCAATGTGTGCTTGCAGTGCCACAGGGTTGAGTGTCACCAGCCAGGAATGAGTTTTGAGGCAGCCTCTGAAGATGTGCAGCTCCATCTGCACTGCATTTAAGAGTGTTTGTGTGTGTGTGTGTGTGTGTGTGCTCTCCCTGCTCCTTCAGCTCCTGCCTGTGCACCCGGCTGTGAGCTGTTCAAGTGATGCTTTAGACAAGTTCCTTGCTCCTGGCAAGCAGCACTGAGATGTGTTACCCATGTACAACAAGCAGTGCAGGGAGCTGTGGCAGAAGGTGATGGACAGCAGCCCTCCAGCTCCAATTCTTGGTTTTAGCCACAAAAATGCAATCAGTGAGAAAAGCCCTTTTCTGCTGGTGCCCAGCTCCGGGCTGTGCTGCAGCTCCTTGCTGTGCTGTAATGAGTTATTGGCCTAATTGTGGTGGGCAGCAAATGCCTTGGAGCTCTCCAGGTCTGGACTTGGCCTCGTGGGCAAAGAAATTAAACCTCAGTGCTGTGACCAAGCCAGGTGTGGCTGCATCTCCTTTGCTTTCAGAAACTCCATTTTTGAGACCCTGCCTGTCTTGCTGTTCTGGTACTAAGAAGACAAAACAGTTTCCAAATCCATGTAGCAAACCACACCTCTCATTACAAGCTGGCCCCATTAGTTAAGAAATGCATTAAAGAACCATGCAGCTCCATGGGTTGCCATTTATTTAACACAGTTACACGAATTTTTGGGAGCATATAATTGTAACAAATAAGCTGTCTAATTTTTTTGGTGATACTGTGATTTCGTGCAGAGCTCTGTGGGGCTTTAGCAGCTTTCCAGGGATAGCATTTCACCCTGGCTGTACACCCTGGGGATTTTGGGCTCAGGCACTGGGGGTTTTGAGCGTGGCAGGAAAATGCCAGCCTGTGAATACAGCCAGGGGAGAGCTGGTTGCTCTCAGTGTGGGTGATTCTCTTGGGTGCAGCTGGGGCTGGAGATGGGAAGCTGCTCTCCATGTCCCAGTGGGCTCTGCCAAGGCACAGGGGGCTGCTGCAGCTGGAGCAATTGCTCTGGAAGGACCCCTGGGAATGTCCCATGTTCAGCTGAATCACCCTGACCCCACAGGGGCTGTGGAAGGAGCATCCATGCCTCATCTTCCTTCTTCTCAGCAGTTTTTGTTCACTTTTGGTTGCCTCCCTCTCACCTTCCCCAGCTCTTTTCCCTCTTTCTTGTTGTTGTCATGGGAACATTCACTACAGCAGTTAAATCATACTATTAAAATATGCTTCCCCAGGAGGGTGCTAGTAGCTAATATTGATCTAGCTCCTGCTGCTGACTCAGGGATATGGCTGAACATATAATATCCCTTATTTCTGCTTTTCATGCATAATGCAGCAGTTTCTCTCACCTTGGGCTCTGTGCTAAGGTGACACCCAGCCACAGGGGTGTACTTTGATTTGCTCTTTCAGATGTGTGGCCCAGCTGAAGGGTGCAGGTGGTGCTTTAAACTGGCTTTCAACTCTGCAAAGGGAAGGCAGACAGGACAGAGCTGCCCTCCCCAGCAGTGGTGATGGATGTTGGTATGCCAGTGGTGAAAACACACTCAGATTAACCTGTCAGCATCCCCAGCCACGCTGTGTGCTCCCAGTAACTTTGTAAATATATCGAGCTCTGTCACAGGAGTGCTTGAAATGCAGATGAAAGACAAATAACTGCCTTAATATCAGGTGAAGCTGCATTTAAAAATGCAATCACTCATCTCCATTGTCCCTGACATCTGCTCTGCCTAATCAGCCCGTGGAGTTGAGCAGAGCAGTGCTGGGAAGATTCCTGAGTCACCAGGAGGAAGCAGAAGGTTTTACCTTGAGATGTGAGCTTGCAGTAATGTTTGAGCCATTAAGGGCTTCACTTTCCCACAGTGGTTAATTAACCAGCTCGAACTTTATGAGAGTTTCCTGAATTTGATAGGTTTTGTAAGGTAAAGGTGCCTCTGGAATTTCCTTGTTTACCCTCCTTTCAGAAAAGTTTTGGTTTGGAACCAGGCTGTTGTACAAATAATTAAAAATAGCGTGGGTTTCATTTGAACAGTATTTGCAGCTGATGCTGTGTGACTGATACACACAGAGCAAATGATATTTTAGAGTCTGTGCTGAAAAGACCTCTGTTAAAAACACTTATTTGCTGAGGAGCCATAAATTTCTGGCATATTTGTGCCTGTTGTTGAACATCTGCACGTAACTCGCTTTATGTTCTAACTCCCTTTATATTTTGACCTTCCCAGAAAAAATCAGGCAGAGATATGCAGATCTCCCGGGAGAATTGCACATTATTGAGCTGGAGAAAGACAAGAATGGGCTGGGGCTCAGCCTGGCTGGCAACAAGGACCGCTCCAGGATGAGCATCTTCGTGGTTGGGATCAATCCCGACGGCCCCGCGGGACGGGACGGGCGCATGCACATCGGGGACGAGCTCCTGGAGGTAAAACTTCCCTGGATGCACTTTGGGGTTGAGGTGCTGGAGGTAAAACTTCCCTGGATGCACATCAGGGATGAGCTCCTGGAGGTAAAACTTCCCTGGATGCACTTTGGGGATGAGGTGCTGGAGGTAAAACCTTCCCTGGATGCACTTTGGGGATGAGGTGCTGGAGGTAAAACCTTCCCTGGATACCCCTTGGGGATGAGCTCCTGGAGGTAAAACTTCCCTGGATGCACTTTGGGGATGAGGTGCTGGAGGTAAAGCCCTTCCCTGGATGCACTTTGGGGATGAGGTGCTGGAGGTAAAACCTTCCCTGGATGCACATCAGGGATGAGCTCCTGGAAGTTCTTCCCTGTGTGCAGTTTGGGGATGAGCTCCTCTAGGTAAAACTCTTCCCTGGATGTACTTTGGGGATGGAGGTAAAATCCTTCCCTGGATCACTTTGGGGATGAGCTCCTGAAAGTAAAGCCCTTCCCTGGATACACTTTGGGGATGAGCTCTTGGGGGTAAAACCCTTCCCTGGGTCACTTTGGGGATGAGCTCCTGGAGGTAAAACCTTCCCTGGATACACCTTGGGGATGGAGGTAAAATTCTTCCCTGGATGCACTTTGGGGATGAGCTCCTGGAAGTTCTTCCCTGTCTGCAGTTTGGGGATGAACTCCTCTAGGTAAAACTCTTCCCTGGATGCTGTTTGGGGATGAAAGTTTTTGGGGATGAAAGTTTGGGGATGGAAGTAAAACTCTTCCCTGAATGCACTTTGGGGTTCAACTCCTCAAGGTAAAATTATTTCCTGGATGCAATTTGGGGGTGAAATCCTGTAGGTAAAACTCTTCCCTGGATGCAGTTTGGGGATGAGCTCCTGGGGCTAAAGTCCTTCCCTGGGTCACTCTGGGGATGAAATCCTGGAGGTAAAAGTCTTCCCTGGATGCAGTTTGGGGATGAGCCCCTGAAGGTAAAACCCTTCCCTCAATGCACTTTGGGGATGGAGGTGAAACTCTTCCCTGGGCGCACTTTGGGGATGGAGGTAAAATTCTTCCCTAGATGCATTTTGAGGATGAACTCCTCAAGGTAAAACTCTTCCCTGGATGCAGTTTGGGGATGAACTCCTCGAGGTAATTGTTCCTTTTAGCGTGTGCAGGGAGGGAGAGGCGTCTTGAACCTTTAAATAAAGCCTGGAAGTGGAATTAGGTGGCTGAGCAAGGAGCTGTGCTGATTTATGCCAACTGAGAACTTGGCCTTTGGCAGGTAAATGTGTTTGCAGTGAAACAAAAATCACTGGCCTGTGAAAAGCAATGTCTTGTCAGCAAAGTCTGTGCTCTCAGCATGTTCACAAGCTCTGCGTGGGGAGGGGCTGTTGGAAGGCAGGAAGGGGACAGTAAATCAATCCTTGGAGTGCATGTGTGGCTTACAGGGAAATTCACACTTTTCGTTAAAAAAAAAGCCAAAACCCCCTCAACGTTGCCATATGTGTTTTTACAGATGACAGGGATATTCCCCATCCTGAAAATAAATTTCATGCTGTAATCTGTTTTGATCTGTTGCAACTTTAAATACTTATTTTCTGTAGTTGTGTCTGGCACGGGTTCACCCACGAGGCAAGAGAGCTCATTAGCAAGTGGAGTATTTTGTCTTCACTTTTTCTCCAGTCTCCTTGCCTCACCTTCAGCCTGCAAACACAGCTTTTCCTTCACTTCACCTGCCTTTTGGGCTGTTGCAAAATGACATTTTGCTGCTGTACCTGCAGTGATTCCCCACGTGCTGATTGCTTCAGTGGTTTTAAAAAAATCATCCCTCCCTGGGGATCTTGCCCTTGGAGAGAGGAGCAGGGATTTGCTGACCTGCTGCTCGCCGTGGGTGGTGATGCTCTGAACTTTCAGCAGCTCTCTGTGCAATCAGAAAACAACCTGTTTTTTCACATTTCTTGACTTGAGAAAGAGCAGTTTGGCTGCCTGGGGGTACCCTGGGAATAGTCAGAATTGTCCAAGCATTTGTCATTGTCTAACAGTTCTGTAATTAGGCTGTTTCAATACACAAAGTACAAGAAAGATTTTTTTTTTTGGCTATAGAAACACCATCATCTGAAGTTGATTTCATTTTAAGTGTGAGAAAAGAAAAGGTATGAAGGTCTGGACCATAATGGAGTAGGGTTGGAAAATTGCTTTCTCCTTCAGAATGATGTTTTTTTCTGTCCCTGACACTGAATTCTAATGGTAAAAAAAGGGGAAACCGTTAAATTTTGGGTGTGTTGAAAGAACTCATGGCACTGTTCTCCTGTGCATATCATAGGTAGTTCCTGGTAGAGCAGAGGATCTGAAGTACTTGAAAGAGGCACCATCTGGGATTAGTCACAAGGCTGGGTTTTGCATGGATGAGCCACATATCAAGGAGCACTTCCCAAAGTGATGGTGTTGCCCTCATTCCTCTCCCTGTTAACTTGGAAATAAAATGTTTTGCTTTTTTCCCTTCAGTAGAAGGAAAGTGAGATCCTCCATCTCAAAAACGCCCAGATTCAAATAAAAATCCAAGGAGACTTTGGTAACCACCTTGTTTATCCTTGCAATCCAGTGGGCAGGAGAACAGTTCCTTATAGAAAAGGATAAATTCAAACATCCTGCATTGCAAGGGGCTGGGTTGTGCATTGGCCACGTGCAGTGAGATGACAAAACTCACATGTGGTTCTCACCTAACTGCATGTCTAAGGTACATTTGCATCTGCATCTTTAATTGCACCTCAGTTCTCAGTACTGCAACTCAGCCTCAGCAAGAGAAAAGATTCACATCTTGGGAAGCCTCTGGCATTTCTGGGCTGCCCCATTTGGACAGTCTTGCTCCATCAAAGCAGAGGATGCCCCTGCAGGGTGTGCAGATTATTCCCTGTGGCTTTTGCTGGAGTTCAGGTTAATGGGATGGCCATTTAGACAGACAGATGTTACCTGTTCATTTTTCTTTTGAACTGGGGTTTGATTGGATTCAGTTGGAGAATGTGGGATGCTGCCAGGCTGCCTCAGCTCCTTATTCATGAAATCTTTTGTTGCTGAATTAATGAAACACCAGCTCACTTTTAGCTTGTGCAAGCAACAGTAGCATTTTGGGGGCACGATCCTGGCTTGTTTTCACTGACATGGAAGAAATGCAGGTCACATCAAAAACCTTCATGTATTTTTATTTTTTAATCCCTCTTCAGGGATGTATTTTGGATGGCTGTGTGGCTGGAGAAAACAGCTTTTTGGGGGAAGAAGGTCCTTTCATCCTACTTTTATACACGTGGGAAAACTACTTGGGTCAGAATTTGGTCCCTGCACAGAAAAGTATTTTTTTTTACAGGACACAAGTCGTGCTTTTCCATTCTTTTTTCCAGGCAGAGGAACCATCTGTGGTGCTCCTGCCTTGCTCTCGTGCTGGTTTAGTGCAGGTGTCTGCCCTGCTTGGTGTCTTGTTGGGCTGGGCTGGGGCTGATGGTGCCCAGCATGGCCCTCAGCAGGGTCACCTGGAGCTGTACCTGTGCCTTGAGTCCTGCTGCTCCCCAGCTCTGCATGGACCTGTCCTGCCAGCAGCTTCTGATCACACTGAATAATCCACCCTGCTGCTGCTGCTATTATTATTATTATTATTATTATTATTATTATTATTATTATTATTATTATTACTGCCATTAAATAATCCATAAAATATCCATAAATAATCCATTACCATTACTATTAAATAATCCATATTGTTATTATTATTATTATATTATTTTTTATTTTTATTTTTTTTATTTTTATTGTTATTGTTATTATCGTCTCCCCAGGAGAGAGTCAGCTGAGTGTTCTATAATAAACCAGGCTGTCAGAGCCCTCTCATGCTGAATTACTGATGTTGGGGTGTTCTGCCACCTCCCCTTCTCTTGCTGAAGATGGGGCAGGGTTTGGAAAGAAACTGCTCCTGTGGATGTGGAGTTTTCCCTGCCCATGGTGGGAATGAGCTGAGCTTTCAGCTCCTTTCCCACCCAACCCTTTCTGTGTTTTATTCTGTGAGGCCACAGCACCTCTTGAAAGAGTAAAAGCTCTTTTTTTTTTTTTTTTTGACTCTTCAGATAAAAATCACTGTAGAAGTTTGCCTGTTGTCCATTCTGGACTGTTGCCCAGGTGACAATTATTACATTTTATTTCTTTATACCATTTTAGCCATAGCTCAACGCCAGAGAGCTTTTGTGCTAAATGCATTTTTATTGCTGTTTTATTTTGTGGTGCTTGGGTAAACAGAAGTTATGCTGTAATAATACAATAGATACAGCAGTATTTTGCCCAAGTAAATGAGCTCCCCAGCCAAACTCACAATGCCATTTCTGTTCTGAGGTGTGGGGGATTGGCACTCAATTCTCAGTTTATTTGCTGTGGGATCTCAGAGCAGAATCACAGAATGGTTTGGGTTGGGAGGGACCTTAAAATTCATCTGATTCCCTGCCCAGGGACCCCTTCCACAATCCCAGGGTGCTCCAATGCCTGTCCAGCCTGGCCTGGGACACTGCCAGGATGGAGCTTCTCTGCACAAACTGCTCCAGTGTCCTTTGCAGAGGAGGATGCAGGTCCTTTTTTTGGTGTGCTTTGTGTGCTGTTGGGTTTTTGGTGTGCTTTGTGTGCTCTTTGGGTTTGGGTGGTGCTTTCCAGGCTGGCAGCAGGTAGGGCACAGGGATCTGTGCCTTCCCAATGTCCTTTCTCCACACTGCCCAGGTGGGGAGCCACAGGCATCAGCTGCCAGCTCAGAGCAGGATATTTTCTGTCCTTACAGATTTTATGCTCTGTTGATCGCTTCAGATGATGCACATGTTTAAACATGTGCCCAGCAAGAATTTTGGTGAGGGAAGTTCACATTCTAATTAGTTTTTCTCTCCAATTTTTTTTCCTCAAGCTTTGGGAGCTTGGTGTGCTTTATGGGGTTTCAGTACATAAAATCTGACTGATAAAAAAAGGGCTTTGAAACTTTCCCCATTGTTTCAGAGAGCCTGGTTGTATCTTGGAATGCTACAATTCCTGTGGTAAGAAGGAACCCAGTGCATTGTACAAAGAAGTAATTATTACAGAAAGCTAAGCCAGTATTTTTACTAGCTTTGGGGTATCATTTAACTTGATTTTCATAAAAATCAGATGATACTAATTTTATGGATTTCCATTACTGCCACGTAGTAAAAACAGTGTGGGTTGGATTTTTTTTTTAATATCCATATCTAATGTTTCTCTTCTGCAAATTAAAGTTTGAGAAGGAAACAATCCTGGAGATTTTTCCCTCTGAACCCAAGAGCTCGGATTTCAGTGAGTTTGTACTTTCTGCTACTTCAGTGCATGAAACTGTAAACCAAAACTTCTGTAGGTGAAGGCAACAGTACATTTGGGATCTGTGATTAAATCTGCCATAAAGCAATGTGGGATTACTTTAAAGGCTGAACTTGGGGGCTGACCTGACCTCATACCTGCAGCAAGTTTTTATCTTTCTCTGAGCTCTGCTGACTTTCCAAGGAGTAATGGAAAGAGGCATTTCAAGAAGAGTTGAGGTTGATTTAGATCAGTTTATTTCTTTTGCTTAGCCCAGGCTTTTGTTTTTCTTTTCTAATCTCTAATGCAAGAAGTAAAGCACAGATCTGTAGGCTTTGACTCCCAGAGTAGTATTTGGTTAATCTGACATGTTACTTTACTTAATTTGAAATATTTAAAGTGGTGTTTCTTCTGAAATCCTAGATGCTCTCTGTTTTGTTTTATTTAAGTAGGCTGTGGTGTTTTGCTCATCACTGTGGTATCTGCAGCTAACGGAGCATTAATTTATTTTGCAAAAGAAAGCGCACTTTAAAAAATAATAAAAGAAAAATTAATACTGGGTGTAATAACTCTGTAGGACAGTCCAAAACCTTGTGCAGATATATTGCTTTGATTATGCTTTCATTTTGGAGTAATTAAATAATTATAACTTAGAGACCCAGCTCACAGCTAATTAAATTTTAGACTATTTGATACATGTAGTGAGTAGGATTAATTTAGCCAGAGTAAAGCCTATAAATTTTAATCTAAGAAGTCTGCTGTTTAGGAAAATTGATGGTAATTTAACTAAATCCAAACAATTTGTAAAGTATACAGTATTCCCAGTGAACAATTTATTCTCAAACTTAGAGAAATTAAGTCAACAAACTCACTGAAAATTTCAAGTTGAGCTTGAAGGCAGAATGCAGCTGAGCATTCATTCATTTTTGCCACTGGCTATTTAAATTGATGGTTGATTAATGAAGCAAGGCCCAGGATGTTGCTTCTCACCCTGCTTTTTCCATGGCAGCTGCAGACAGAACCATACTAACTCTTGGGGAAAGTGATATTATTTCCTTTTAGACCTTGCTTGGGTCCCTTTTTGTACAATAAAAGACTTGGTAGGTGAAAGTTTTGCACTTCAATCCCAGTCAGTAACCAAGTGTTAGGGAGTTCATTCTTGTCCTTGCATTGTCCTTATTTAACTTGATGAACTTGCATCATGTTTTGACCCACTGAAAATAAGATTTGTGAATATTCCTAATGTGTCTGACTAGCCCATATCACACCAGGCTGGGAGACTTGGCCTGTTACTTCTGGTTTGAGTGGAAAAAAAAAAAGAAAGAAATCTTTCTAAGATCACAAACCCAGGATCCAATACAAACATCTGCAGTAACAAAAATTCCTTCTGTAATCACCACTGAATTGTTCCTGGGCTCCGTTGTCCGTATTGTTTTAAGCAGCATTGGTGTATCAAATGTGAATGTAAATATTATGTTGTAAATTTAGAGTGGGAGGAAAAAACTGCAGCATTGAAGCCCAGGATTGTTTAGGTTGGAAAAGTCCTTTAGGACACAGAGTCCAACCATCCCCCAGCACTGCCAAGGCCGCCCCTGCCCCGTGTCCCCAAGTGCCACATCCACAGGGCTTTTAAACCCCTCCAGGGATGGGGACTGAAGAAATTTTTCCAAATAGAAATTGAAGAAATTTCCCCAAATATCCAGTCTCAGTCTCCTCTGGTGTAACTTGGGGCCATTCCCTCTGCTCCTGTCCCTGTTCCCTGGAGCAGAGCCCGACCTGGGGCTGTGCCCTCCTGGCAGGAGCTGTGCAGAGCCACAAGGGCCCCTGAGCCTCCTTTGCTCCAGGCTCAGCCCCTGCCCAGCTCCATTCCCTGCCCTGGATGCCCTCCATGTCCCTCTTTCTGTGACTGGGGACCCCAGCAGTGCCCCAGGGCTGGAGGTTGGTCTCAGGGCTGGTCCCTGCCCTGCTGCTGTGGCCACAGCACTGCTGACCCAGGCAGGTGCCCTGGCCCTGCTGCCCACCTGGCCAAGGTGATGGCCTGGCCAGGCTGTTTTCCCTGGCAGCTGCAGCATTTCCCATGTCCCTGTGTCCAGAGCAGGGCTTGGTGCCTGCTGCTGTGCTCAGGTGTGGATCCAGCCCAGCAAAAGGGACGCAGCATCACGTCCTTAAATTGTCCTTCATCTCCCTGACTCCCACTCTTCCTCCTTCAGCAGAGCTGAGGAGCCAGCACAGCCTTAGCAGCCAGTTCTCCTCAATGGCCAGAGCCTGCAGGCAAAGTGCAGGAGTCTCAACATCTAAACATCTGTGCTGTTGTCACATCTCTATGATTCTCCTCAGATCAAGTTGCTTTCCAAAAATCTGGGAATAATCCTTGAAACCCATTCAAGGGATCTGTGGAAAAAAAAAAAAAATCTCTCATTTGTGGTTTACTAATAACAGTAAATTAGCTCTGCATTGGTTCCTGTTTTATGTAGATCAAGATTTGGAGACCACATTTTCTTTGAGTCTTATCTCCTTATCCCACAGTAAACTTGGAAGTCTCGGTAGTATAAATTAGAACAAGGTGTACTCCTCCACTTACATGAAAATCATTTTCTTTTAACAGATAAACAATCAGATATTGTATGGAAGAAGCCACCAGAATGCTTCTGCAATCATTAAAACTGCCCCATCCAAGGTCAAGCTGGTTTTCATACGGTAAGAACCATTCTCATCAAAACATTTGTTGCACTTTAGCCTATTCCATGACATATTTACATATTTAACCTGCTTTGCACATGCTGAACTTTCCCCGTTCTCTTTGAAGCTGAATAAACCTTTTCCCTGACTATTCTTCTTGGAACATTCAAGAGTTCTCCATAATAATGTAAAAAAAAAATAAATATCTCATGGAAATGAATGCTTATTTTAGGGGTGTCTGCTGAAAACTTGAGCTGTTCCTCTTGGGCTTGGGAGCTGCTTCTCCCACAACTTCCTGAAGTGCTTTGGGATGGTTCAGCACAGGGTTGGAGAGGGCAGCTTGTTCATCCAGCCAGGAGGGAATGGGGATGGTGCAGAGGCTTGGGATTGCTGGAGAGGAGCAGGGATGAAGCACAAGGAGCAGGGGCTGGCTGAAGGATACCTTTGTGTGGGCATCAAAAGGGGATTTTGAAAGAGAGCAAGGGCTTGTTTGTACAGAGGGGAAGGCTGGCTTTGCCAAGGAGAGCTGGGATGGATTGTGTGGGAGGGAATATGCTAAAACACCCTTTCATCTGCATAAAAATTACATGTGGGCATTTTTCTTTCGCTCCAAGCATGAAAATTTTTCCTCTTTGTACATGAATTAAAGACACCTGCATGCATTCCCTCAGTAGTTCAGGAAGTGTTGCTCTCCTGACCCTGGGCAGGAGGTCTGGGAAAAAGCTGCCTCTTTCCCAGGACTCATACATGCTCTAACAGGCTGGAATTTCACAGATGTGCATTTATGAATAAATTCCAGCTGCGACTCTTGCTGGGCACTTCACCCCCGTGCCATTTTATAAGGTGCTCTTCCCACCAACACCTACATCATACTTGCTATTGTTTTATATTCCTGGCTCATCCACAGCCTCCCTGTGAACAATGTAATAATCTGTGGCTGAATGCATATAAATGTGTACATTTACTGCCATGGCTCTGCCTGCTGCAGCGTGCCCAGAAGTGATGGAGGAGCAGCATTAGCACTGTGAGGAATGAGTTGCTATCCTTGGCAGCTCAGAGGATCTGGAGGAGATTAATGCTCCTGCCTGCAGCTCCTGTGTTACTTTCCCCAGCCACTGAAAATTCAACGTCACGTCCCACAGCTCGCTCACCGTTATTTAATTGCCTGTGGAAAATGTGGCTGCTTGGAGGTTCCAGAGGCAAAACCCCCACTTGTGGGAGCCCATGCCAAGAGTGGGGCCCCTTCCCTGGTGCTCCAAGCAGAACTCCAGGGAATGGGCCCTGGCCGAGCCACTTCCATGGGCTGCAGGTCCTTGGTGTGTCTTTTGGGTCCTTGGTTTGTCTTTTGGGTCCTTGTGTGTCTTTTGGATCCTTGGTTTGTCTTTTGGATCCTTGGTTTGTCTTTTGGATCCTTGGTTTGTCTTTTGGGTCCTTGGTGTGTCTTTTGGGTCCTTGGGGTGTCTTTTGGATCCTTGGTTTGTCTTTTGGGTCCTTGGTGTGTCTTTTGGATCCTTGGTGTGTCTTTTGGATCCTTGGTGTGTCTTTTGGGTCCTTGGTGTGTCTTTTGGGTCCTTGGGGTGTCTTTTGGATCCTTGGTGTGTCTTTTGGATCCTTGGTTTGTCTTTTGGGTCTTTGGTGTATCTTTTGGATCCTTGGTTTGTCTTTTGGGTCCTTGTGTATCTTTTGGATCCTTGGTTTGTCTTTTGGGTCCTTGTGTATCTTTTGGATCCTTGGTTTGTCTTTTGGGTCCTTGGTGTGTCTTTTGGATCTTTGGTGTGTCTTCTGCCCTTTGAGACACAAAGGCCATGTAGTTTCTTAGCTAAAATTCTCCTTTCCTAATTGTTATCTTCAAGGCAAAAATACATCTCGAATATTCAAGAGACACTAGAAATATATACTGGAAATACCATTGGATGATTCTTGTTTCCATCTCAGAGATTAAAAAAAAAACCACCCCAATTTCTGCTTTTAAATGCTGCTGCTGAGGGTGTAAACTTCCATCTTCCCAAGAGCACAACTCTTGGCCTTGCCCTGAGAGCTGATGGGTTTGTTTGCTCAGCCCAGGCAGGCACTGGAGCAGCAATAAAAGGGAATTCTCCCACTGACAGGATGTCCTCAATGCCTGGAGCACTGCCCCAAACATGGGGAGAAAACCAGTGTCCCTTGTTTTTCGATGTGTGCTCGAGTTCTAGCAAAGACACATTGGACTGTCTCTCTTAAATGTGGATTTTAAGGACAAACGAGAATGATTTGCTCTTCTCATGCAAACCCTGTTCCATGAGCCCAGTCTGTCTTGGTGCTTCCCATTCCTCCAGCCCAGACCACAAACCCAGTGGATGCTGCTGAGTGAAAACATGAGCTGTGGCCTTTTTGTGCCTCTGGATGTGTTTTGGCTGTGTTACACCACAGCTCACTACAGCAAAATGACACAGACTGCAGGAGCTCTGAGAGAAATTAATTTGGTCTTCATGTTCATCAAAATACAAATATTCTCATTTCACCAGTAAAAAAACCTGAGTAGATTATGATTTTGTAGAAACACATCAGTCCACAGCCTGAAAAGGTCCTGACTGAGCTGATTCAGGGCATAAAAGCCAAGCTGGTGGAATTTTTGGGCTGTTCCAAGTGCCCTCTCTGATACCCTGAGGCCTTTTTTCCCTGAGATGCAGGATGCTGAGTGATAAGCACGCTGCTTTCCCCTTGGAAGCAGGAAACAGCATCCAGGTTTTCCTATTCCTGGTGTTTTGGTTCATGTGCAGGGCAAGGGGATGTTTCCATAAACTCCTTAATCAGTTGTGAAAGAAGCCCAGAAATTCCTGGGCACAGAAAAGCCTTTCTGGGAGAGCTGTAATAACTATCATTAAATAACTTCAGAGAATCACAGAATGGTTTGGCTTGGAAGGGACCTTAAAGATTATCCAGCTCCAGCCCCAAATTTATTTCTTTTTCTAGACAAAGATAAAGGATAAAAGGTATCCTCAGCCTTTTGGGCTTTTTGCTGAAATCCTGACTTACCACGTGTGCTATAAAAGTCTGTTCCCACTTTTTTACACCCAGGTAGTGTTACAATTGCATTCCCACCCTTCCCTGGAATTTCTGCTGATGAGACACAGCTCAGTAGCTGCTGTGAGAATCACAGACACCCCCTTATGTTTGAAGGCTTCTCACTCTGCTTCATGAGCATCTTTTCCTCAATTAAGTTGATGATGATTATTTAAAACAGTTGCTTTTGGCCAGATTCCAGAACCTAAGTCTTAACACAGCTCTGTTTCCCAGTGGTCTCATTAATTACTTGAGCTTCTAAGAGCATCTAAAAGATTTGCAGTTAGAGTGTCACTTTGCTTTTTTTAGGGGCAATAAGGGACGTCATGTCTTTGTTGCCTTTTGAAATTCTTGCTCTGATTCTCCAACAGGAATTAGCCAGGTAATAATGTGAGAGAGGGACTTGCTTCTTCTGGGAGTGTCTGTGCCCCAGTTCCCAAAATAAGATGTGTTTCTACCCATTGTGGGTTTTGGTCATGTGTTGTAAGTCCATCCCTGTAACATGCATAATGAAACAATATAATTAAATTTTACATCTGGAGTAGGAAATCCAGTTTACATCAGAATGCTCTTTTACAGTGAGAATTTTATGATTCAGCAAATTCAGTGTTTTTTCCCATGCTCAATTAACTGCCTTTAATCTGGTTTGGTGCTTCAGTGTTGGTATAATAAGCAGATCAAATATAGCTGAGTGCTTGACTCAAAGTGAATTCCACTGATTTCAAACCATCCTCCCATTGTGCTCAGTCCTGTGAGTCACTCCTTGCTCTACCTTTATCCCTTAAAAGAAAATTGCCTTTTGCAGTGATGAACCATGAGAAATGCTTTAACAGTGAGGGATTTTTCTGATTTAAATTCCATCTGTCATCTGTCCTGAGCCCTCCCACACTGCAGCCCCTGCTCTGATATTGCTGCTTCCTGCTGGTGGGATTGTGAAGCCCACAAATCTGTCACCCAACCCCTCCTTCCATTTCCAGGTGTAATCTCCTCTTATTTATGGGGGTGTGCAGAGGAGAGAGATCCTTGAGCTGGGGATTGTCTGGGCTGTTCAACACTCCCCACTGCTGTGGCTTTGACTCTTCTTTCAGAGCCTCTAGAAGAGATATCTTATATGTTTAGTGCCACTCTCAAACACTGCCATGCTTTAGAAATTATTAGAAATTATTTCTCTAATAATTAGAAAAATATTAGAAATTATTTCTATAATAACTAGAAAATATTTCTATAATAATTAGAAATAATTAGAATTAGAAATTATTTTTACGTTTGTTCAAACCTACATAAACCCCACTGCTGTGACTTTAACTCTTCTTTCAGATCCCCTAGAAGTGATATCTTATATGTTTAGTGCCACTCCCAAACACTGCCATGCTTTAGAAATTATTAGAAATTATTTCTCTAATAATTAGAAAATATTTCTATAATAATTAGGAAATTATTCGAAATTATTTCTGTAATAATTAGAAAAACATTAGAAATTATTTCTATAATAATTATAAATAATTAGAATTAGAAATTATTTTTAAGTTTGTTCAAACCTACATAAACCCCACTGCTGTGACTTTGACTCTTCTTTCAGATCCTCTAGAAGTGCCATCTTATGTTTGGTGCCACTCTCAAACACTGCCATGCTTTAGAAATTATTAAAATTATTTCTGTAATAATTAGGAAAATATTAGAAATTATTTCTATGATAATTAGGAAATTATTAGAAATTATTTCTGTAATAATTAGAAAATTATTAGAAATTATTTCTATAATAATTAGGAAATTATTAGAAATTATTTCTATAGTAACTAGGAAATTATTAAAAATTATTTCTATAATAATTAGGAAAATATTAGCAATTATTTCTGTAATAATTTAAAATTATTAGAAAATTATTTCTATAATAATTAGAAATAATTAGAATTAGAAATTATTTTTACATTTGTTCAAACATACATAATTGGCCATATTTTAAGGGTATAAACTCCTGGTTTTACTTGCTTTGATTGCTGAGGTTCTTTCATGTGGGAAAGTTTCAAAGTAAGCCCTTGCCAGGCCCTGTGTGTGTGCAAGTTTGAACTTTTCCTGTTTTCTCCAGAGCTGTTTCCTCCTCTCTGTCATACACATGTGGGAACAGGCTCAGGAATGGTTCAGGAAGTTCAGTGATTTGGGCTCCTCCAAAACCTTTGATGACCTAAGCTGCAGTTTATAAGAACATTAGTTGTTCATTTAAAATACCCCTGTGCCTGTGGCTCCCATTAATTGGGGGTGGAAGGAGAGGAAGTGCAGGACAAGACTCTTCTTGCTGCTGTGGGAGAGATTCTTCAGGAAGATGCACAAAGGTCCTGCCTTGGAGCAGAAACCCAGTGAGTCTGCTCAGAGTGCAGCTTCCCTGCAGCTCCTCTTCTCCAAAGGAGCCTCCAGAGGGAAGACAAAGATGAGAAAACACAAGATCTTGATATTTTATTTTATTTTATTTTATTTTATTTTATTTTAACTTAACAAGCAGGATGTGGACAACATAAGCCTTTGATATTCTGCAAGATTTTATGCCCTGGTGTCACCTTGCAGAGGAAACATTTATTCCCTTGTTCTACATTTATTTACACTATTATTGCATTTTTTTACACTATTATTTACTTATACATTTATAAGCTTTCAATAATCTGCAAAACTTTATGTCCTGGTGTCACCTTGCAGAGGAAACATTTATTCCCTTGTTCTACATTTACACTATTACATTTTTACACTATTATTGCATTTATTTACACTATTATTTACATATACATTTATAAACTTTCAATAATCTGCAGAACTTTATGTCCTGGTGTCACCTTGCAGAGGAAACATTTATTCCCTTGTTCTACATTTACACTATTGCATTTTTACACTATCATTGCATTTATTTACACTATTATTTACATATACATTTATAAACTTTCAATAATCTGCAGAACTTTATGTCCTGGTGTCACCTTGCAGAGGAAACATTTATTCCCTTGTTCTACATTTATTTACACTATTATTACATTTATTTGCACCATTATTTACATACATATTTATAAGCTTTCAACAATCTGCAAGACTTTATGTCCTGGTATCACCTTATGGAAGAAACATTTATTCCCTTGTTCCAGAGCTCTCTTCTATCTCAGATTTTTGTGTCATTTCATGCAAGCTATTGGGTTTTCCTTCTGATTCTTGATGTATTCCCACAAAAAGCACCCTCAGCCCCTTGCAGAGCTGTTGCCAGATGCTCTCTCAGCGTTGGTGGCTGCAGATATTTTGGCAGGAGGTTCTTCTCCCTTGCTTTAGACATCCAGAGGACATCTGGAGCTCGGTGTGAGTCAGAATTGTCAGGAGCCCCCAGAGATCAATTCAGGGTGTCCTGTGGTGAATTAAATGACTCAGGTGCTGGGCTTGCCCCTCCAAGTGGCAATTTGGGATTTCTCTTGGTTTTGCCTTTCAGCACCCAACTTCAGCTTCCCTTCATTCCTTCCTGCACCTTCTTGGGTGCTCCCTTTGGATTTGTATTTGCCTGTGGCTCTCTTCAGGCTTCTTTTGTACCCAGTTTTTGTGGTATTTAAGTCAGTAACAAGTCTATTTGTCTTTGCTTAAGCTGCAAAGGTGCAGATGGAGCAGAACATCAGGAGTTTTATTTTTTTGGTCTACAAGACAGGATGGGGGATGTCCAAGGGCCCTGTTTAGACTAGAAAGAAGTAAAATGTAGTAAGGAATGGAGCCTTTCTCTTGAGTGTGAAGGTTTAGACACCCTAACCCCAAGCAACCTCAAACCCCAAGGATTGAGCACCAGCAACTGGGAGCAGCTTTTTTGGAGGTGGTTCTGGAGCAACTGTTGGCAAATATGTGGAATGCTCATCTGCAGTCACTGTAATTTGAATGTGATGTTCAGACTTCTGAGATGTCTGCCCCTTTCTGCATCAAAAGAAAATGATTGCTCCTTTTAGTCGTAAATAAATTCACATTTTAGTTGAGGACACTTGTGGAAGTGGGGAGCAGAAACAGCAATTTATTATTAGATCTGTCACTTTAAAATATATTCCCACTTTGATTCTGCTTTGAAGCATTCTCCTTTGAAGCAGCATTAAAGTATTTAAATATGAACGAGTCCTAGCAGGGGGAGATTACAAGTTGTGACACTGTGTAACCTTGGGGTTTTTTATATTTTTGCCTTTTTTTTTTCCCAGGGGAATTACCATAAGTGTTTTTTTATTGCTTGAAATAAAAATGGCCATCCACTTAAAGCTGCATAAAGATACTTTTTCCCCACTGGTGTAAAAAAAATACAAAGGTGTTTGTGTATGAAGTGAAAACTAGTTTGGATAATTAATTACACTCCAGTTTGTCATGAAGATTGTGTCTAGCAATTTTTAGGGTATTTCTTACAAAAAAAAAAAAAGTAATTTTTATATATATATATAACATTATATATAATAGTGTATTTATTTACTTATTTATTAAAATTATGATTATATTATTAAAATATAGATAAATAAGTAAATAAATATATACTTATATATAGATATTTATTTATTTATATTTTAATATAATATATACAAAATATATGTATATATTCTTTATATATCTATTTTTATAAATTTATATAATTTTCTATTTTTATATAATTTTATATAATTTTATATTTATATAATTTTATATAATTTTATATTTATATTTTGATACATAATTTAATATGTTTGATATATATTCTTTTTATTTATATATCAATATCTATATATCTATCTATCTTTATTTCCATGTTTGCTCCTAATTGCACAGCATGCAGCCTGCACCGTGAGCTGCAGAGTGGGGCTGGTTTTCATGCTGATTGTACTTCACATAAACTATTGTCAGGAAAACCTCTGCAGTCAAGGCAAAATCACAAAATCACAGGGTGATTTACTCCTGTAGGTTAGAAAAGCACCAACCATAAGGAGATCGATGTCTCACCCAGATAAGAGCAGGGAAAACATCCTTGCCCAATATGCCCTGTGGGGTGAGATGCGCTTGGGAATTGTGAAATGCCGATGGAATCCAGGGCTGGGCGCCTGTCCCAGGCTGGGCTCTCCCTCCTGCAGGGCTGTGGGAGCAGAGGCTGGGAGCCAGGGCAGCTCTGGGAGCACCCAGCCAGCTCCTTTGGATGGTGTGGCTGTGAGCTTGCAGATAAGGAAATGAATTCCCCAGCCTTTGCCTGCAGGATTTATCATTTCAGGTGCCTGTGACTCCCGTTTGCTGCTGTGCTCAGAGCTGTTGATTCACAGAGTTATTTCTCAGTGATCAAAACATGTTAGCTCCATGTCTTTTAACCCTTCAGGGGGGGAAATGAGACTTTTTTTCTTTCAGGCACTTCCATAAAATGTGTTTAAGACACATAATAGTCTAATAGTTTATTCCAGAAATGAAAGAGGAAGAGATTCTGCTCATGTCACAGTAACATGGAGTGTAGCAGAGAGAAAATCGAACCTGGAAGAGCCAGGAGAGGTCACTTCCCTTCATCTAGAGCTGTACCTGTGGAGCAGCAGCATCACAGATCCCTCCTGCAAAAAGGCTGCAGAAGGGACTTTGTGAGAAGGCACAAAGTGAGAGGACAGGGGGGAATGGCTGTAACCTGCCTGGGGTAGATTTAGGTTGGATTTTGGGTAGAAATTCCTCTTTGGGAGTGTGGGCAGGCCCTGGCACAGGGTGCCCAGAGGAGCTGTGGCTGCTCCTGGCAGTGCCCAAGGCCAGGCTGGAGCACCCTGGGACGCTGGAAGGTGTCGCTGCCATGGCAGGGTGGCACTGGATGAGTTTTAAAATCCCTTCCCACCCAAACCATTCTGTGATTCTGTGATGATTTGCCTTAAACGATATCACTGAAGTCATCTGTTACCTGGTCTTGTTTTACTGAGGCCAAAAAAACACAGAGCTAATTCCAGAAAACAAATCAGTTTAAATGGCAGTTGAGGAAAAACATCAGCAAGGCAGAATGCTGTTAAATACAAAAAACAAATTAATCAGATGTCAACTTCAGAGGCATTTTAAAGAGAGAGAAAAAGATGCCATACATCATAAGCATTTTGGAAAAACAATTCACTTTATATGTAGGGAGAATCAGTGTTCATCTCCTCTTTACCCTGCATTTTATAAAATCTTTTCCAAGTTTTTTAATTGAAGCTTTTAGAAAAGACTGCAGCAAAAATGAACAAAAAAAGAAAAAGCAATCTGTTACATTAAAACAGGTATTTCAGTAATGTGAATGTGAAACTATAAACAAGCAGTTTACAGATGTAGAGACCATTAAAAGAGGCTAACTAAGTGTGAGCACATCTATGTATGTGTAGGGACCATAAAATCCAACTGCATCCTCTGATAATCCACACAAAATTGGATTTCCAAAGGACAGGATGTCAGTGTGTCCCAGATGAGGGATGGGATCTGCTGGGGAGCAAGGAACCAGAGCAAAAATGATAAAAAACAGTTGTCATGGTGATGAGGGTGTTTTTTTTAATGGGCAGAACCAGCTCCAAGGAGAATTTTGCCCACCCTGGTTTGGGGTGTAACGTGGTGTTTTGGTTTGTTTTGTTTTGTTGCGCAGAAGTGAAGATGCAGTCAACCAGATGGCTGTCACTCCCTTCCCACTGCCTTCAGGCTCCCACTCTGCCATTGAGGTAAGGTTTGTGGGCTGTTGTTTTTAATTAGAGACTGCTAAATTGGATAGATTAATCATAATTAGCAGCTCCTGATAAGTTTGAGCACCTTGTGTAATTAAACCCGGGGTCGTAAAATGCGTTGGGTAGAGACTTGGCCTAATAGGCTTATTTTGCCCTGTCTCTTTTTTATTGATCTGCTTGTTCCTGACAGACCTGCATGGCATTAACAGCAGCTCTTAAACAGGGCACTGCTGTACAGGAGGAAGAGGAGGCTCCAAACTAAAACCTTGCCACCTCCTCCAAATTTAAACCTTGTCCTGCTCCTCTTTCAGCTGGCTGTGCTGAGGCAGTTCTGCCTGGAGTATTCCTAAATGCAAAACCAATCTCAGTGTGGTGATGTTGCCAGTGTTTTCTGTGATTTCTGTTGCTACCTCAGCCCCAGTGCAGACTGATTGCTCCCCTGTGCACCAGGAATCCCTGCAGTCACCGCACTCGTTATCATTTTGACATCTCAATGCGGTGTAACTAAATTTTCAGGATAAACTACACGGTTAGCCTCGCTGTTGCTTTTTAATTCTATTTCTATCTGAGCTAATAAAGCAAAAGATGTTTTGTAATTCAATTGGGGTTTGGTCTTGCCTCAATAAATCCATGTGCATTGAACTCCTGGTATTTCCATGAGCGTGGCTGGGATCCCTCAGCAGGGGCCACGGGAGGTAAGGCTGGATGCATCCATCTCCTGTTTGCCCTCTTGCTGTTGTTTTCCAGATTCTCTTACCTCTGGTGGCTGCTCCTTGCAGGCCTGGTGCTGCACAGAGCAAGAACTGCTCATGTTTTGTTTGGATCTCAGTCATTTGTGGGCAAAGCTTTGGCTTTTCCTTCTCTCCTCCACACCAGCAGCACGTCCCAGGTGCAGCTGGTGCTTTATAAATTACTCAACAATTCACAGAGTTCATCTTATCTTTAACACCTGCATTTATTCCCAGCTTTGTTGTTTAATATTTGTGCCTTCAGGAGGAAGCACAAAGCTTTGTTTAGGCACATTCTGGTGAACTGGCTGTCATTAGATTCCACCCAAGTGTGTCTCTGTTTGCCTTTTGAGGTAGATGCTTGTGAGTTGAGTTTCATGCATTAATGGCAAGTTCTGATTATTTACATTATGTTTGTTTTATAAGTAAATACAGGTTTTTACTTCTAGCTGGTATCTTTTTATTATATTAAATCAACATAACCAAATATGGTGATGTTATACAGAAGTTTACATTGCTTTCTTTGGCAGCTCTTCCTCTCTTTAAATAAAGAAAAAATAGCCTTATATCTTGAAATGATATCTTCAAATATCTTTGAAATACCACATAAATATTTAACATTGTGTCTTACATGCACCCTACATGTAACTTGTCAGATCATATTAAACAGCCTGGCTATGCAATGGAATATCAAGGTGCCATAGTTACCATGGATTATTGTGTTAGTTTTCTTCAGCTCATCTCTTGATCTTTATCTTATCTCTTTATCTGCAGCTTATCTCTTTGTCTGTGTTACATGAGAAGTGATAAACAGTAAATACATCTTAAATCAGAGTCTTGTGTTGTGCTGTTATACTGTGGGCAAGCCACCAGAAACAGTCTATTAAATATTAATCGCTGTAAAGTATGTTTTTAGAAGTTTCAATCACCAAAAAGCCACAGAATGAGGTATTTTTTTGCCACAGTGAACAGAGGTGCTTTGTCCTCTCCAGTGGTGGTCGAGACATTTGAGTTTACATTTACTTAAATGTAAAATGCCTAATGAAAATTCAGAAATAGTTTTGTTTCTAGGCCTAAAGAGTCCAGGGGAGGCCACAGAGCTGCTGCAGGGCTGGAGCCAGGCTGGGAGAGCTGGGGGTGCTCACCTGGAGAGGAGAAGCTCCAGGGAGAGCTCAGAGCCCCTGGCAGGGCCTGAAGGGGCTCCAGGAGAGCTGCAGAGGGACTGGGGACAGGGGATGGAGGGACAGGACACAGGGAATGGCTCCCAGTGCCAGAGGGCAGGGATGGATGGGACATTGGGAATGAATTCCTGGCTGGGAGGGTGGGGAAGGGGCTGGTCTGGAATTCCCAGAGCAGCTGGGACTGCCCCTGGATCCCTGGCAGTGCCCAAGGCCGGGCCTGGGACAGTGGGAGGTGTCCCTGCCATGGCAGGGGTGGCACTGGATGGGATTTAAGGTCCCTTGTCACCCAAACCATTCCATGATTTTCCCAAGGTGCTCAGACTGTGTGAAGGAAACTGGGACTCCTTTAACGTGCTGAGCATGGGGCAGAGGTCTGGAGAAAAGCTCCTCATACCAAGTGCACAGCTTTCACAGCTGGCAGGGGTTAGTCTGGCCTTCAGAGCTACCCCTAAGGGCAGTTTTGGGAATATCTTGTGGTGCTTTTTGTCAGCCAGCTGGGACCAAGGTCTGCCTTCCCAGAATTACATCCCTCATTTGCCCATTGGGAGGCTTTAATTGTGGATCTTTCTACCTTGTCATGCTGCCCCTTGTCTAAAAAATACATCAGAAAAGGGGAAAACTGTCTAATTTTTCTGTTTAGCTGTTTTGGGGCCCTGTTTAAAAGCTGTTGTCAATCCTTTCTCCAGGACCACTCTGGCACTGAACCTGCAGGTGGTGAGGAAGACCCAAGTTTGGAAGTTGTCATGAAAAGCTTGACTGATGAGGAATCCAACAAAGCTGTGAGTGACTTGAGGCAATATTTAAGGATGATTAGAGTTCAGAATGTGAAGGCTCACTGGGCCTGATTGGTTCTCTCTGCCTTTTTATTGGAGTGTTGCAGCACTTTTGTCAAATAATCTCCAGTACATGTAAAAGCAGAATCAGACTCAGCTTTATGTACCCAGCCTGTTTTCATGAACTGAGCTCTCAGTAAACCTTGTTAAAATAGCAAGATAAGAGTTTCTACATAGCGTTTGGGCCCTCTCTTGGGGGGGTTCTTGGTGAGTGAGGGGATTGGGTTTCCACTCCTGCCATCCATGTGTGACAAACTTTAGAAAAAGCCTGGTCTGTAAATCACATTCTCATTTATATTCATAGCTTCATAAATTCTAAGGCCAAGATGTCTATTATCATAATCTAGTCTTGCCTCCTGAATAGCACAGCTATGGAGTTGCTCTCAGTGATTTCTGCATTAAGGCCATAACTTGTGCTTTAATGTGGTTCTGTCAGTGTGCACTGTAATAAATACTGAACTTCTCATTGACACAGATGGAGATTTTTGTTGTTTGATAGGTCAGGATCATGCATTATCAGGAATCTGAAAGTCCTTCAGGCTGCAGCTCTGATTTCTTCTTTTTGGATGCTGTGTTAAAAATTTAAAATGGAAAACACTAAACATGGCTAAGCTGGGGGTACCTCAGGATTTGCTGAGAGAGTTTTTGCTGCCTGCTCCAGTTTCAAGGAGTGCAGGACTTGCTGTGTGTCCTCAGCTAAGGAAACCTGACATTCCTGGATGTTTTTCCTCTTAGATGTCTTCTTCCTGCTCCATCACGTCTCTTGCAAGGAGTGTCTTGGGGTTTGCAGCTATAAATTGAATGTACATAATGCTCTGCAGCTAGTAAGTGTTTAATTAATGAGTCTGCAAATTCCAAGAGTTAGGAAGTGTTATGTGCTGTTCAAGCAGCAGAATTAATCAGCCATGGATTGATTTATGTCCCTAATGGATCACTAAAAGGTTGAGTTGTTGCTGTTTGGTAGCACAGTGCAGATTCCTCTGATGGGCTGGAATAGAAAGGAATCAGACTTTCCCTGGATGTATTTGCAGGTGTCACTCACCTGGTTTTATTGCAGTTCTTTCTAAGCTTGGCAAGAAATTTTAGAGGGATTGCAAGGTAAAATAGGAGAAATTGCTCAAAGACTGAAGCAGATAAAAACACACAAAATATGTTACAGAACAGTGAATTTCTGGTGCAGCCCATGGTGCTGTGCAGCTCTTTGAGTGGTGTTAGAGGAGGGATGAATTTAACAGGAAAAAGAAATGGCAGCAACCCAAGGTAGGTGTGGAGGGAAGATGCCTCTGGAAGCACAGGAAACCCAGAATATATTGGCAGCAAGAAAGAAGGAGCCAAAAGGCACAGGTTGAAAGGTAAAAAGAAAGAAAAATGCTTGTCCCAAACAGAGCAGTGGCAGAGAGGTAAGAGAAGGCAAAGGCCTGCACTTAGAAAAGTGTTGGAGTTCCTGTAGACCCAACTGCTCATTCCACAATGCCTTCAGTTGGGCCAGCCCTAGGCTTAGGGGAATAAATGGATGAAAAATAATGGCAACAGCCAGTTTAGCAATTTCAGAATGTTCTTACCATCAGGATTTTAAAACAGCATGGGGGATATTTCTGAGTGGGTCTGAGTTTTGGGAGTGTGCTGATGGTTCTGGCCCCAAGGGAGAGGGTATTTTCTTAACTGGCTTTAAGACTTTGACTCTGCAGTGCAGCACAACAGAAATTGGTGGTTTTGGGAAGGGAGATTTGTCTTGCAGTCTTCTAGTGAAGCAAAAGAAAACAGTGCCTTGTTTTTCACAGCATAGTGCTGCTACCAGAGCCTCAGTGCTACCTCACCATTGTTACTGAATGTCTCGGAAACATGTCAGGAGAAATCAGGAATGTAAAAGTCAACAAGTAAGATCAAGTTCACTGAGTAAATAAAAAGTATGTGCTTATCAGCAGAGATCTTCCACAAGTATGTACAGCTCAAAGCATGGGCAGGATGTCTCACCAAGTGACAGCTGTAATAAAAGGAAAGTTAAAAAATTCACATCGTTCTCTGTTCATCTGTCGCTGATAAATTTGTCAGTCTCTCACAACATACTCTTTGTTGTCACTTCATCACTTTAAAAGCTATAAAGTTCTCTAATGGACATCATTGTAGGCTTGGATGATAAGAAGGGGGAAGGAAAACAACTTTGTTTCTGAACTGGAGCCAGTGGAAGTGTTAGGCACAGTCTGTGTGTTTGTTAGCTGAGATTTAGGTGGCCTCCTGGAAGGTTGAAGAAATTTGATTTTCTGTAAGGTGTGCTTGGAAAATAATTGGTGGAGAGGGCTTTGAGATGCTCTTGGAAGATTTAATCTGACAAAGTGAAAATAGTTTGTGAGAATGGATTCATTTGCCTTTAAAGGTTTGAACTTGGAACAATAATCTGAATCACAACAAACAGAAAACAAATCCTTGAAACCCTGGCAAAGAGGAGGGGCTGTGTAAAAGTGCTTTTGGATGGAGTTGAGGGGTTGAATTTGATGAAACCAGTTGGGCTGCAGGCTTCTGACAAATGCTGAGTGTATTTGGTGCTCATTTTGTTCAGGTGCCTCTAGCACAGTTAAAAGATCAGGGAGATGTGAAGGTGGTGCCTGGTGCTTGCTTGTGGTGCAAGATGAAGCTTCAGATTTTAGTCACATATCACAATGAAAAAGGGAAGTATGAAGTAATTTTTCATTGCTCATTAAAACAATCTCTCAGAAAATGACAGAGCAGTCTTCCATTCCTCCCCTGACACCTCTGATAATACAATGAGATCACCCCTTTATCTTTTGTTCCTGTTATCCTTTTGGATAATAGTTGCAGTTGCAGAGTTACAGCAAGCTTGGAGAAAAAAATCAAGGGGGAAAAAAAAGATCCTGTGGGGGTTGGGATCTTTTAGCATAATGAAACTCCAGCAAACAAGGCCAGCACTTCCCAGCTGAGTTAGCTACAATTCTGTTTACCTTTTTTAATGTAGAAATTGTAATTTTAAATAGAAATTCTTTCTGAGATGCAGAGTAACTTCTGAATATCTGAAAAAGGTTTGAGGTAATCTTTGGAAGTTGGTACTTCTTTTCTGCAAGCTAGGCTGTTGATCAGGGGTTTTTAATATGGGATAAGAAAAATAACTATTACTTGGATCAAAGTGAAGACCTAACAAGGGAGGGCACTGTACCTGTCTGGAAACACTTGTAGGATATAAAAATATATTTTTGTGTATTGCGAAGGTAGAGAAATAAATTAGGCTACAAGAGGAGCTGGTAATTGAAGTTCCATTGTTGGAGATCTTTTTGATGGGGCTGGAGGGTGCATTTGAAGCAGTTGCTTTATTTAGGAGAGCCAAAAAATGAGGGGGAAGAGAGAGCAGATGACTTGGAGCCCCTTCTGCTGTGGGCACTGGGGGGTCCCTGCACACAGCCTGGGAATTGCTGTCCCAGTCATTCCAGAGCATCTGTGATAATCCCTGCTGTGCACTGCATGCCCTCAGAGCTGAGGGCTGTGGTTTTAATAACTCCTGATATTTTAATAACTCCTGATACTCCCTGGGCTCACAGCAGCTTTGCCTCATTTAAGGTTTGGGCTTCAGCTTTGCTTGGTGGTACAAATGGATTTACATGGAGAAATCCCGGAATCCCAGACTGGTTTGGGTTGGGAGGGACCTCAAACTCCATCCTGTTCCACCCCTGCCATGGCAGGGACACCTTCCCCTGTCCCAGGGGGCTCCAGCCTGGCCTTGGGCACTGCCAGGAGTGGGGCAGCCCCAGCTGCTCTGGGAATTCCAGCCCAGCCAGGAATTCCTTCCCAATATCCCATCCATCCCTGCCCTCTGGAAGCCATTCCCTGTGTCCTGTCCCTCCAAAACATCACTGGATTTCCCTAGAATCATCATTCTGGAGTTTTGGAGGGTATTTTATTGAAGCTAATGAGACATTTTCAATACATCTTGTTTTCTTTTTTGACTTTTTAGGATGTGAAGTGTAAATCTGACCCACCAGCGGTGGCAGATGAGCAGGAGGCAGAGGAGCAGCTCCCAGAAAATGTATGTGTGTCCAGGAAAATGTGTGTCCAGGAAAATGTCTGTGTCTTCATGTTAACCAGCAAGGGAGGGTTCTGAGGGCTTGATTTGGTTAAAGACTGAGTGATTCTTGGGGGGAAGGGATCAACTGGGAAGACATTAAAATAATTTCATTGATGGAAATGTAAAAAACGACTGGCTCCTCTTTAAATGTGTGGGAATTGCTTGTTGTCCTCCCGTTGATTTGGAGGATTTAGTGAGGCTCAGTGATCAACAGCTGATGGACAGTGACCTCCCCACATGGTGGGGACTGAGAACTGATATCTCTTGCTTCTGCTTTGCTTTTAGGTCCTCAGCCAGATCAAACAGCCCAAACCTTCCACGGCAGCCCCAGGGAGCTGCCAGGAGCTGCCCCTGGAGCCAGCACCTCCTCACCTTCCTCCGGAGCCAGAAGCCACCAGCCGTGGTAGGAACCAGACATTTTGCCACAATAATGTGTATTTTTACTACCCTGACCCAAAATGGGTATTTTCATTTTGTTTTCCATATAGCTTCTGCTGAAGTTTTGTTTCTTTGAACATCCAGTCACCTATTCCAAGTTATTTTATAATGTGTTTGTGTTTTTCTCTCCTGTCACAATTTTTGAGAGCTTGGAGCTGTCTTCACTTGTTTTTCTTGACTTTTACATGCAAAGATAATCTTGTTTTCGATTGAAATAGAAGGAAAGACAGTTTGGGACATGCTGTTCATTGCACGGTGCTGGAATATGGCTTTACCTGTCCTGAAAGGAATACCCCTTTCCATCACAATCTGAAATGCAGAGGTTAAAACTGAATTAGATGTCCCCACGGGCTTTTACTGGCAGCATTTATTCCCAGAACTGAAGTCACTCTGGTTTAGAGACTTCAGAAGTGACTCTGAGTGGCCCTGTACTTCAATTCTATGAAGGTGAAGAGCAAAAAAAAAAAAGCTAAATTAGCTGTTGTCGCACCATTCCTTCTGTGGTTCTCATTTTCTTACTGTGCTGTGTGACTGATTTCTTGCCCTTGTGATGTTCCCAGGTGTGTTCCCACCTCCACTGCCTGTGGATCCAGCCACCTGTGCCATAGTTCCAGGGCAGGAGATGACCATAGAGATCTCCAAGGGTCGCTCAGGCCTCGGGCTCAGCATCGTTGGGGGCAAGGACACTCCCCTGGTGAGTTTCTGTTAAAATCATGTTTGCTGCAGACAGAGACAGGGAAAACATGGAAAATAGCAATGCCCTTAATAGGTAATTGCTCTGATAAATTGCTGAAGACTGGGAGGACAAGCCAACTCTAAGCTCCAATAAAAACTCGGTGATTTTGCCTTGTGTCGCATCAGGTGATGCTCCTGTTTAAATTGTTGGTGTTTCAGTAGTTTTGCTGCTGTGGTCAGAGGCTGCAAATGTGTTTTCTTTTACTTAACCATTGTGAATCAGGAGCTGGAATGGCTGGACTAGAAATTAATGTTGCAGAGGTGGAGCTGTCTCAGCAAGGGTAACAGCTCTGTCCTGAGAGCAGAAATGCTCAGTAGCTGTTTAAACAAACTGTGATTTATCTGCCTGCCAGCAAAAGCCTTTGCAGAACAGAGGTAAACCAAAGGTAATCTTTTATTGCTTTCTCTGTCTTTTGGCTTAATCTGCCTCCTGGATATGCTGTTTAAAAAAAAAATTATCTCCAGATGAATTAAAATGTTCAAGCATGAGCTCAGCAAATTAGTGATGCTAAACCCCCTAAACCCCTCCCTGCCTCTGCTCTTGCTGTCTCCTCTCCACTTCCCATCTGAGAGATGCTTTGCTGCAGTGTAAGAGAAGCCAGATTGGGCTTTTTAAATGTCAAATTCAGTTCTTTCAGTAAACAGCTCTCTGTTGCAGAGGTGTCTGTGCTGGGGTCTCCTGAATTCCCTGACACTGAGACTCTTCAGGCAGTGGAACTGCTCTGGTACATGCAGTTTTTGCCCAAAATATCACAGTGGTGCATCATTAAGCATCAAAGTGTCAGCAGGTACCCACAGTTGCAATGTAGCAGTCTTCTTCTAGGGTAAAAAAAAAAAAAAAATAAAAAGGAAAAAAATTGAAAGGAAAGAAGAAAAGAAGTCAAAAGGAAAAAGAAAGTTTTCTGTTGCAGAGTGGGGGCTGGATCTTTTACAGCATTAAAGCTTAAATTGGAAAAATTCAGGTTTTGGTCCCATTGACCCAGTCTGCAGTTTTGTAGAGCTGGGATGAATTCCTTTGTTTGCCATGGAGATGGAGCTGGGTTGGTTTTCACTCTTTCTAGCCATGCACAGCTTTGCCCCCAGTCCCCCTTTTTTTTGTCAAGCTCCTCAGTGTTGAGTAAATTCAAATAAGTTGCTCAGTGTTAGTCATCTCCCTGCTTTTCATTTAACTGGAATTTGGAAATAATACATGGCAGTCTGTCAGATCCAGTATGGTGTGTGTCTTTAGTGAGATTTTAATATAAATAAATGAAAATTGTAAATAACTGCTGTACAGAGCAGATGAGAAAAAATGCAAAGGGTTTTAGTCTTTAAATTGAGTAAATGGTTTTGGTTAAGTATTATGCTTTCATTAGTTTCTTCATTAAAGTGTCCTCCTAGGAGTTGATTTTAAAAGTCTGTGCACTGGAGTGCAGTAACAAACCATGAAGGGAGGCAGCTCCAAGTCCCCACTTTTCAGATCCTCAACTTACAGGACTTACCCAAAATGAGTCCCTGTTTCTTCTCATAATTCTGGATCTGCTCATTGAAAGGCAAGAAATGGTGTTTCATAGGAAACAAGGTGCTTTTGGGAAACCACAGCCTAGCCTGGTCCTTTGCCATGAGCACAGGCCCTCTCTGGGATTTTCCATCACTTCCTGCTCCAGAGCAGCCCCTTCTCCTCCAGGCTGGAGCTCAGGGCCACAGCTGTGGGATCCCAGAATCCTGGCAGAGTTTGCGTTGGAAACCTTAAAGATCCTCCACTTGCACCCCCTGCCATGGGCAGGGAACCTCCCATTTTTCTGTCTTCTGATCTCCAGATTACTTTGATGCCTTCCCTTTTTTTTTTTCTTTTTTTTTTCTTTTTTTTTTTGTTGCCCTGGAGTCAGAAAACCTTCTGTAAAGAGTTGAAACCAAGTTCACGTGACATAACGAGGAGTAAAAGCAAATACTGCTCAGGGCTGTTGGAAAGTTTCTGTCTCTCTGAGTTTCATGGCTTAGAGAGAAAATGTTACAAAACAGCTCCGTGGGGCTGAGTGATGGATGTGTCTTGCTCTCTGTCATTTGGTTTTAACTCAGTTACACACAGGGACATCTTTTGTATTTTAAAAGAGGCAAGATCAAAGGAGTTCATCGCTCCTTTGGCAGAAATTTTGTGTCCGGGATTCACAGTTTGGTGCAGTGCAGAGAAATTAGCATGACCTGTAATTGGCTCCAGCAGAAGTGCCCAGAAACCCCTGAAGGGCATGAACCCCAGCTCCTGGGATCTCAGAAGGAATTTATCAGCATGGGGGGAGCCAGGAATGCTGCTCAGAACATGGCAGGTCTGAAATGGACATGGCAAAGCCTGTAAGGGCCTCACCCATGTTGTACTAAAATGTTCTTGATCTAAAAATGCTGAGCTGAGGGTACTCAACAGCAGCTCACAAGGGATGGGAAAGCTCTCTCAGAATATTTTATATCTTCCTTGAGCACAAGATGTACAGGCCCAGCTTTTGGAATAATAAATCTGGCAGCCAGGGACAGGCTGCTTGAAAATGAAATATGGAGTGCAACTTTTAAGTCATAACCTCAGGAATCTCATCAGGAATCACCAAGTAGAGACTTGAAAAATACAGCCTGTGAGCAGGGAGGTTAATTCGTTCAGGAGGTTGGAAAGTGATGTCTTAGCCCCTGTGAAATGTTTTTTGGTGAGGAGATGTCCATCCCCTGAAGCTGCAAACCCTTTCAGTGATGTATGATGAAGCAGGGCTCTGCCTGGGGAGCTGGAAGGATGTGCTTGCAGGAAAGGCATGGCCAGGGAAGGGTTGTCCTTGGGAGTTGTCTTCATGTTGTTGATCTTCAGGCTGCTCTGGAGCAGCTCTATTTCATTTCCCTCTAAGTGCTGATGTTTTATAAAGTATTTTTTTTCCTCTTCGCTCACTTTCATTTCACCTTCCCACGTACCCCTGAGAGAACACAACACATGGCCTCTGCTTTAAAGCAATTAAAGTGCAGACTGGAGCTGGCTGAAGCACAGGCCTTTCAGTTTCTGATTTTTTTTTTTTTTGGTTGTAGTCCAATCAAACTTGTAAAAGTAACCTCAGAGTGGGAATTTAAAACAGGGGGGAAAAAAAAAAAAAGAAATGTTTTCAGAAACATCTCCAAAATGAGGTGGTTTGAGGCTCCCCAGGACACCCAGGAGATTTTCATCCTAAATCCTCAGAGAACAGGGCATCCAGGAGTTGTTTTAAATTGTACTCATCCAGATGGGGTGAGGGCTTTGTCCAGAGAGGCTCTGGGTGTTGGGCAGGGCTTAGATCAGCCGGGCCTAGGGGAAGGTGTCCCATGGCAGGAGATGGAGTGAGAGGGGCTCTGAGGTCCCTCCCAACCCAAACCAGCCCAGATTCTCTGAAATCCCAGCCCATTATCACCCCAGGGTGGGTGAATGCTGCCCACTTAACAACTTGCAATGATTTTCTGTCGTCCAGGATAGTGAATTTTCAGGGATTTGACTCCTGGCAGCACATGGAAGAGGCACTGCTCTAAGACACAGACATTTTCTGTGCAGGGTGGGGGCCCTGCTCTGCTGCCAGCTGAATAATTCAGTGATGGTCGAGTTGATTACTGGTGGTTATTGACTCTTCCTTTGCTGCCTGGGTGATTGAGACACTCAGACATGCCAGAGGGCATGCAGCAGTTTCAAGGCTGGTTTGGGGATGTTCCTCCAGGCAGGGTTGGAGAACCTGGGAGGGAGGAGGGCTCAGGGGCTCAGCTGGGGCTGGAAATCACTGCAGCTAATGGCTGAAGAGGTATAAAAGAAGATTGCAGGGTCTGTAACTTAGGGCTCTCTGGAGGTGGAGTAGGGGGTGGTCATTATCTCAGCCTTACACAGAAAGGAAGCAAAATATACTTTGGGCTGTGTGGTGTTTGTTGTAAACAACATCAAACCTCTTATGCAGGATTTTTTATACTGGGTTGTCTGCTTTGAATGTGGTAAATTTTCTTTTTGTACTTTTGCTTTCAGCCGACTTTAATAAAAAGCATTTGTAAGGCAATTAAGAAACTTTAAGGTACTCCATCTGTAAAATAAAGTGATCCACAAAGCCAGGGAACTGGAACATGAAAAACACCAGAATATTCCTGTGCTCAGCTAACAGGAGGTGGTGAGAGCAAAAAGCTTCCCTGATCACCTGGGTTAGCCCAGAGGCTTTTCTGGGGAGCTTCCTGAGGGTGGGATGCAGTTTGACAGAAGAATATTTAGATTCATTCTGTCAGTCCAGGTGAGTCATCCCTTGAATAAACCCCATCTGTTCAGGAAGGGCAAGGGAATAATCAGGAAAACCGTGACTTGAAGCTGCAGCTGTTCAAGCCCCAGTGTTTGCCCCTGGAACTGAGAGGGATAATTACCCTGTGAGAGCTAATTACCCTGTGAGGGCTCCGTGCTGCCAAAACCAGGCTGCTCCTGCTCCAAAGCCAAGCCTAGAGCTCGGCTTTGTGCTGAGCTTTGTGGGGACCTTCCTGAGCACGAGGGCTCTGTGACTCCTGTGTGTCACTGAGCAGGTTCTCCCTCAGCTGAGCTTTCATCCCACCCTCCCCACCTCAGTTATGTTTAAGTCCAGGCAAAAATATCTTTATCGGGTATAGACAGACAGCATCTGAGTGATTGCTCAGGCAGCCAGGCAGTGCAGCCAGGGCTGAGAGTGTTCTGCTGAAATGTGCTCACCTTGTAACTACAAATGAGAAGGGGGATATTGGCCTCTGGGGAGGCTCCAGCAATATGTGGGCTGTAAGATGCTGCTGCTGCTGCTGTTAAATCCCCCACACAGTGCATGGAACAATGGGATGAGAAAGGGGAATGGCAGCCCTGAGTGTTTAATCGTGGCTTGGGTATCACGGAGGGAGAGCCTGTGGTTGGGAGAGGCAGAAATGCAGCCCCTCCTAAACCCCTGCTCACACTCCTAAAGCAGAAGGCAATTTTTTTAATGGCAGGGTGGTAAA